ATAGGTGAAAACGTCTTTCTTGAAACAAGCAGTGCAAATTTATTGCCAAGAGGGTAGCAACCGATATTTCTGTGTCACTTGGATTTAAGTTTTCTTTATGAATCATTCTTCGTTATACCTAATGCCAAATTTTGTCACATTCATTGAAATCTGATTCTGGAGTTTTTTATAATGTGTTTGCTATGTGTCCATTGCGATTTGATTTGAGAATTGTTTTTGGCTTTCAATTATTTTCTCAAATTCTCTTTCTTGAAGCTTGTGTTTTAGTGTGTTTTGAATGTGTTTCATATTTATTTAGTTATTTATTTTTATTTGTTTAGTTAGCATTTAATATTGTTTTTATAAACATCTAGCTCATTATATTGATAACACCGTGCGACAGTAAATGTTACACATAGAAAAATCAATATATATTCGCGAAACCATGGGTAAAATATAGTAAAATTGCGTTGTTGTTGTTGTAGCGGCTACAGGTACGAGTTCAACGTGCTGCAGTAGCCAGAGTGAAGTTGGGCTATTGTGGTCCGAATCTTTCGAGGCAGACGAAGCTCCGTCTGGTCCACGTCAGGTGGTTGTGTGCTCAAAACGGCGTTCACAGGTCTAGAGTCTACGTAACTTAAGACCGACTCCCTGTGAATGCCCATCAAGGCCTGTCGATATGCTCTCGGGTTCAGAGGTTTCTTTATGAACCTCTGCATTTCGTCCACCAGTTCGTATAGATGCTTTCTGATGTGCCTTGGCGAGGGCTGCTCTGCAAGCGAGTGTCTGTTCGGGTGTCCAAGTCTGTGGCTCCCTACTATGAAATGCTTGCAGAGCATTGCGTTGTGCTGCTTTATGGAGAGCATTTGCGCCTCGTCAGGCAGGTGATGTTTTCGCGACACCAGAAGATATCCGGTCGCTATCCGGAGTTTGTATTTTAAGTCGTTTGTAGCTTCATCCACTGCATCCTACTGGTCCCCGGCGACCACACTGGAGTTGCGTAATTTAGAATCGGTCAGCCAATTTCCTTGTATGTTGCCACCAAAGTTTATTTGTCTTTGCCCCAGGTGCTGCCGGCTAGCGACTTGATGAGCTTTTTGTGGCTCTATACTTTGTTGACAATTGCAGTTGTGTGCGCGGAGAAAGAGAGCAGACTGCCGAACTTTACTCCGAGGAAATTCGGGTTATTCACCATCGGAATTGGTACGTCATCGACGTGAATACCCAGCTGCAGTCTGACCTCTTTCGTACAGGTGGTGAAAAGGGTAGCTGACGATTTCGTAGGGAAGAGGGTTAGGCTCCTTACAGTGAAGTAGCGAGAAAGCTCGGACAGGTAACCGTTTACTTTCTAGCACAAGTCATCAATTCCATTCCCAAATGCCATTATCGAGCAATCTCCCGCAATTCTGCAATTTTGTAACTCGATCGTTCGTTTTGGTCTTGCTTTACGAACGTTGAACTCGTCTCGGTTACATTTAAACTGGCTAGAATATTTGTGCAGGACTAGTTTTTAAGCATTCGCCTTCTTCCTTCGTGCAGCCTATCGTTCGAGATAGATAATAAGGCTGTAAGAGACAAACGACACTCTCTCTGGTGGTTAAGGGAGCTTAGAAATATATAAGTTGAAGAGTAATGAGGAAAGGACACCACCCTGTGGAACGTCCTGTCTTATTTTCCTGGGTTTTCTCAATTCGTTTCTAAAGGCTGGTATGCAGCTCTCAAGAAAATGGTCAATAAAAAAATGTTCATTATTTCGTGTGTGTGTCCAAGGAATTTTGACCTGATACTTCACCAACCAGTTGCCTCGCTATATATTTCTGTTGCAAGCATTGGTTACCTTGTGCTGCTTTTTCACAAAAAAACTTTAGAAAACCGTAGTAGAAATCGTAGCAAATTCCTTAAGAACTGTGTACTGCCTCTAGAAAATTTTACAAAGAAAATTTCTTAGCCATTTCTTGTCATTTTATATGGAGCTTTTGCTTTTCTTGAGAGCTACATACTGGCCTTAAATATTACTGACGAGTGTTGGCAACTCAGATAATTCGCCGACCACCGCTTGAGTTTCTGTGGAAGAGAGGGGTGACTGACTGTGTCAAACGCCTTGGACAGTTCCAACGCTGCTAGAACAATTCTCTCACAGGAGCGGTTTCGGTTTAGGCCACGTGTTATCTAGGCGTGTATGGCATTAGGGGTTGTTGTTTACTCTCGCAGAACCCAAATTTTTCAGAATCAGCATGCATATTTCGTCGGCCCTTATGGCTTTAGAGGCTTTTACTTTAACGATGCTACCTGAACTCCATCGCAAGTGAAATGAAGAGGCGCACTTGTCCTTGACAGTTTGTGCAGTCTTCTGGTCACTCTACGTTTAGTTTTGTTTGCCAGAGGATGCAGCATGAATTGTCGGAAAAAATAGCCCGCGTTTCGCTCCGGATCCGACGAGGCGCGGTCGCCGAATAAGATTTCGACTCTGTCGTCGCGTTTCATCGGATTGGACAGTGACCTAACGGTTGACCAAAGCCTACTCACACCAGAGGTGAAGTTGCAAGTCTTCAGATGTTCTTCCTACTTTTTTCGCTTATGTACGCTCACAAACTGCCGAATATGCGTATTGAGATCCCCGATGCGGAGATTTCCGGCTGATCCCGGAAGGTTGTCACGCTCATCTGCTAGAACAGCTGCTTTAGCGGTAAAATTCGGACGGGGGTCCGAAATGTACTGTGCTGGAATGAAGCGGGCTGCAGCAGCAGTGAAAACCCTGCGGAACTTTCGCTCACCTACGTGAACGTAGCGGCGCGTCGGTTGGTGTGGGGAGCATTGCCGTTTTGCTTAAGTTTAATTTTTTCCTGTTTGTTGACATGTAAAATTGTTCTTCGTTTTGCTATATTTTTGTATTAAAATAGACAAAAAGGATAATTTTCCTCAAAAATACATAGCCAGAAGAGTTATCATTTCATTCAATTTTTCAATTTTATTTTAGGAAGACGCAACTTCCTTTTCGCGGTCGTCCTATTTTAGAAACTCCGAGTGTACTTCTGCCATAAAATCGCTTCTCAAAAAACTATTTGCCGTTCGGAGGCGACCTAGAACTTTAGGTCCCTTTAGTTGCGTGACAAATTCACCATGCGCGTTACGGATAATATGATACCAAACTCGCTTTATGCATGCATTTGAAAAACTAGCGAAAGGGCAGCTAACTATATAGGAGTATATATATGTATGTTGAAAGCCTGAAATAATGTGTAATAATTTTCAAATTAGGCAACTGTTGGACTATAAAATCCTTACTTTGACGACAAAACTTAGCCTTAGATGGCCTTTACTTACTTACTTGCTTACTTTTTATTTCTGTAACTAATATATGTATAAGCTTCGAAAGAAACAAGCAGTAGCTCCAAGCATTTTTATTAAGACCCGTTTCGGTGGAAAATCAGGTACCTCCGTCAAAGCGAAGAAAGGTCGGTGGAGGAAAAACTTCCTGCACCCAAAAGAGTCCGGCTACACTCCTGGATGGGCAAACCTAGCTTTGGCGAGGATGCGAAGGACCGAATCTTCATAGGGGTTTTGGACCGAGGCAACGAGCACGGGTCCATACCGAAGGACCAGTGGAGGTGGGTGAAGGCAGCTGTGGCGAACGTCATTTTTGATGTTCTGCAGGAGAACCCCGGAACCTCTCCAGCTTGCATATATCTAAGTGGTCTAGCCGCTTTGGCCTAAGCGTCAGCTCAAGCAAAGTAGAGCTCGTCCTTTTCACGAGAAGGTATAAAATGCCTTCCGTCGCTCCACCGGAGCTAAACGGCTTTCGGTTAAGTCTCGCTACAAAAGCCAAATTTCTTGGCGTTATTTTAGATAAGAAGCTGAGCTGGAAGGAAAATATAGTTCATCAATATGAGAAGGCTTCCGTAGCCCCCTGTAGTTGTAAACGGGCTATAGAGATGGGGCCTCAGTCCCCGGATTTGGATATTTATATCAGTCGTCAGACCAATCCTACAGTATGGAGTGATCATGTGGTGGCCTGCGTTAGATAAAGAGGTCAACCTCAGGCTTCTCATCAAAGTGCAAAGGTTCAGTATGATCTGCCTAAGCGGAGCGCTCAGAACTACGCCAAACGATGCTCTGAACACTATTTTGGATCTTCTCCCACTGGATTTGTTAGGAAAGCAGATAGCAGCGCTCGCTGCTCTTCACTTAAGAGAGGCAACCTGTAGCCCAGTGTAAGCGATGGCAACCCAGACACCGCTGTCAGAATCCAACGAGTGGGTAGACAGACTCGGGCAGAAACAAACGTGCCGCGGTAGCAAGAACATCGAGAAATACTTTTATACTTTCAATTTATATTTTCATAATCATACTCTGTCATTCCTAATTTAAATAAATATCAATTCATTTGCTGTAAAATTGAGTATCCATCCTCATCGTTCTCAGTTCAGAAGTGAGATCGCAATCCACTCTGCCTACAAATCGCATTTTAATTCGGTAAAACGTTTGTAAACGCGCGTGCGTATATATGTGCATACATATTTACATGCAAAACTCACCCGTAATTCGCTAACAAAGTGTTCGCTAGCGCACGGTCTGCGGCGACACGACGAAGGCAACGAGCAAGAAGCGCTCAATGCAACAACGACAACCAACGTGAATCGACGGTTCGAAAAACGAAACCAGCAACAAGTGAAGGCAAATTGGTGTATGGAAAACGAGACCTGCAGCATCAAGTTTGTAAAACGAAGTGCACGGACACACGTACGAGTGAAGCGAGAAGTTTTGTGTTGATACATATATTGAATACTACGTGTATACAACAAGATGACAAAAATTTGCGAATTTAAGGTCGATCAACTGAAATTCTTTCTTCGAGAAAGGCAATTGCAAACGACAGGCACACGGGACCAGTTTATTCAACGTTTGTGTGAATACGAGAATGCCGAAGAGTTGACTGGCACGAGTCCAAAACAACAGAGGAAGGAGCTGATACGACGACAGTATCACAGCTTCAGGAGGAGATGAGGCAATTGCGAGAAATGATGACGCAGTTTCTACAAGTACAACGCACCGGCATGAATTCCAGCACAACGCAAGTGGAAAACGTTGCGCAAAATGTATCGCTGCCAGCAAGCGGCAGCAGCGCAGTAGCAAATAACGACGGCGCAAGTGTAAGCAACAGCGGTGCTGTAGCAAGCAACGAAATTACTGCCACGCGAATTTACTCGAACGAATACAGCTCAACGAACATAAACACACGTCATGCATCGGTAAAAGAAATAGCAAATACCCTGCCGGAATTTGATCCGATAAGCGACAAAAGCATTACGGTGGAACAATTTATTGATCACGTCAATAAAGTGATCGAAGCTTATCGATGGGATGAAAAATTTCTTTTGTTAGCTATTTATACGCGACTCAACGGGGTTGCAAGAATGTGGTTGGACGCATCACCTGTTCTACATACAACGTGGGCAGATTTTGCAAACGCTTTAAAAAGTGAATTTGGTACAACGCACGATGAAGCAGAAATACATTTTCTGATGTCTAACGCAACGAGACGCCCAAAAGAACGTATCAACGAGTATTGTTTTCGAGTCTCATCAATAGGAGTTCGATACAATCTTAGTGAATCCGCTATTATACGTTACATAAGGGTAGGACTGAAGCATCGTGAGCTTCAGCAGAGTATTGCAGCAATGAAGTTTAATACGGTGAAGCAAATGAGAGACGCAATCGAAGATTACTTTGTAAACCGTGGAGGATTATACGAAACTAAAAATGAACAATTTGTGAAACGAGACGAACAAAAGGCCAAAGTGGGCGAAGCAGCTAAGCAGCGTGAATCTACGAGAGCCCAACTTAAGTGCTATAACTGCAGCGAAGCCGGTCACTTCTCCAATAAGTGTCCATTACCGCAGAAACGTCAACGATGTACAACATGCAACAAGGTTCACCCAAACGATGGAAATTGTGACAAAGCCGCAAATTTACGACGACTTGGCGTTACAAATTGTGACGAGTGCTTCAACAAAACGATTTATATACAGTCAAAACCGTATACTGCTTTCGTCGATACTGGAAGCCAATGCAGTATCATTCGCGAATCTGTAGCCGAACGAATCAAGGCTGAAAGGCGCAAGTGCTGTGTGAAAATAAAAGGCATTTGTGGAGGCGTACGCATACTCAACGAAGCTATCATCGTAGATATCATCATCGACGAAGCTGTCATCACGGCACAAGTTTACATTGCCGACGATAATCTAGTGCAACAAGACGTTTTGTTAGGCCAAGATGTAATCGTTAATGCCAACGTAACGATGAAAATCGACAGTGGTCGCACCATATTCGAAAACAAACAATTAATACAACAGCCGGTAATATCTAATTGCAAATTTTCTAAACTTTTATCTAATTTCAGCAACGAAGCTGAACGGGTAAAGACGCAGGGTCTTTTAGAGAACTTTGCCGAGGTTTTCTCTACTGGACTAGACGGTATTGGTAAAACGGACGTGGTCGAAGCTAGCATCGAACTTGAGAGTAGCCAAACAGTAGCTCAAGTACCGTATCGCATTCCAGAGCCGAAACGTAGTATTGTTAACAGCATGATCGACGAGCTGTTGCAACATGACATCGTCACCAAATCTACGTCAGAATATGCAAGTCCCGTCGTAGTAATTAAAAAACAAAGCGGAGGTGATCGACTATGCATCGATTACCGGCGCCTCAACAAGCTAATGAAGAAGGAAAATTTTCCTGTTCCAAACATCGAGGAACGATAACACGAAGCAAAACGATTTAAATTCTTCTCTTCCCTGGATTTAAACAGTGGCTATTACCAGATAGCAATGGCACCTGAAAGCCGAAAGTTCACCGCTTTCATCACCACCGATGGGCTCTACGAGTTCAAACGCATGCCGTTTGGACTGAAGAACGCGCCAGCAATTTTCAATCGACTTATGGCAGAACTCCAAAAACGAGTAGAGAAAGGCGACATGCTCCACTACATGGACGATATTTTAATCGGCAGCAACTCTTTCGATGAGATGTATGCAAAACTCTCGCGCATACTTCAAGTACTACGGACATGTGGACTCACATTGAATATCAACAAGTGTGAGCTATACAAGCAGACGATAATATTTTTGGGACATCAACTACATCCTGCCGGCATCAGCCCCGGCGAAATAAAAACTAACGCTATTGCTCGTTTTCCGCAACCTAGAAGTGTCACCGAGGTACGCAAGTTTTCAGGCCTCAGTGGGTATTTCCGGAAGTTCGTCGCCGGATATTCAATAATTTCCGAGCCGCTACGCAATCTGTTACGCAAAAACGTCAAGTTCAAGTGGGTGCAACCACAAGAATCAGCATTCAACGATCTCAAACGTTCGCTAACGTCGAAGCTGACAATGGTAAGCTACCGCATAGAAGCCGAACACGAGCTGCACACGGACGCCAGCTCTGTAGGCCTCGCTAGTGTGCTAATGCAATTGGAGAACGGTCAGCATATTTCAGTCGCTCTACTACGGACAACGAAAAACGGTTTCACAGCTATGAGCTTGAAGCTCTGGCTGTAGTAGAATGGTTGGCGAGATTCAAATACTACGTCTACGCTAAGACGATTAAAGTGATTACCGGTTGCAGCGCTTTAGAAACAACGATGGAAAAACGAGAGCTGATACCACGTATCGCCCGATGGTGGTTGAGGATTCAAGAGTTCGACATCGAGATTATACACCGAGCAGGTTCCCGAATGGCACATGTGGACGCGTTAAGCCGCGCCCCCTACGAAGATGCACACGAACTCGACACCGCCGATCTTAAAATCTCCATGACGATTATCGATTAAGCCGACTGGTTGTTCAGCATCCAATTACAGGATACCAACGTCAAACGGATTGTCAACGAGATGCGAACCGGAAAGAAATCAGACTACACTGATTACGTCATCTAACTAGGACGCCTATACCGTAAATGCAACCATAAACTACTATGGGTTGTTCCAAAACAGCTTAGACACCATGTACTCCAAGAGTGTCACGATAGGGCAGGTCACATGAGCGTCGATAAAACTATTGACCGAATCCTTAATTTGTTTTGGTTTCCGCGCATGAGGAACTACGTCAAGAGCTATATTCAATCGTGCATCGGATGTGTTTTAAATAAATCGCCTGGTGGTCGACGAGAAGGTCAGTACCACTACGACCACACTAAGCCGATTCCATTCGCAACTATTCATATGGATCATCTGGGACCATTTCCGAGAAACTCCAAAGGACACGAACACATACTCGTGATCGTCGACTCATTCACGAAATTTACCATCATCCGCGCAGTGAAAAGCACTGCCACCAAATATGTTATACAGACGTTACAAGAAGTAACAAGCTACGTGGGAATGCCTGGTCGTATTATCTCCGACCGAGGAACTGCTTTTACTTCGAAAGTTTTCCAGACATTTTGTAAAGACAACAACGTGAAACATGTTCTTATTGCAGTCCGAACACCACGTGCAAATGGCCATGCCGAGCGCACAAACCGCATCATCTTGTCTATGTTGTTACTATCTACCGATAACGAAAGACGATGGGACGACAAGTTACGCCAGGTGCAATGGAGCATCAATACGATGACCAACAAGACAACTGGATATACTCCATGCCAGCTTCTGTATGGATAAACACCACGCGACATATTGCAAAACCAGCTCATCCAAACGCTTCAGGATGATCAAGCTGATACATTAACCGACACCGACTTACAACAACTAAGGGCTACAGCCGCTACCCGAATCGATGATGTGAGAGCGCAAGCTAAACGACGATACGATGCTCGGCATGCTAGTCCAAAGATCTACAAACAAGGTGACCTAGTACTAACAACGAACGAGCCGACAAGTACAGGTACCTCCCGGAAATTAGAACCCCGTTACAAAGGACCATTCGTAATCCGCGAGGTCCTTCCAAACGACCGGTATGTGATCGAAGATTTACCACATGCCCAGCGAACGCAACGCCATTACACATCAGTATTCGCATCAGGTCAGCTAAAACTTTGGTGTACATTACCACCTGATGATTTCGACGACGATGACCCTACGGGCGACACTTCGGGCGGCACTTCGGGCGAGGGCGCTCCGAAAGGTCAGGAAAGCCGACTGTAAGCGATGGCAACCAGACACCGCTGTCAGAATCCAACGAGTGGGTAGACAGACTCGGGCAGAAACAAACGTGTCGCGGTAGCAAGAACATCGAGAAATACTTTTATACTTTCAATTTATATTTTCATAATCATACTCTGTCATTCCTAATTTAAATAAATATCAATTCATTTGCTGTAAAATTGAGTATCTACCCTCGTCGTTCTCACCAGGGACACTCTTGTATATTAAATGAATTTTGCTTCATTCCGAACAGCACAGACCGCTAAGCTTCGATATCGGTTCCGGAAAGCAACTTCACCACAAGAATCCCAAGCAGGGAGGAGTGGAAAGAAGATTTCAACACTCCATCCGACATCTATACATATGGTTCAAAACTCGGCGGTAGGTAGGAGGCGGCGTTTTCTCACAAAACACTCCTCTAAAAATCTATTTTAAGTTACCGGACTACTGCAGCGTATTCCGAGCTGAAGTTTCAGCTATCACCGAAGCTGCTGAGATATTTGGAACCGAAATGATGGGAAGGGACATCTTCATTTTTAGTGATAGTGAGGCTGCAATCAAAGCTCTGAGCTCTTTCACGTTTCACTTAAAGATTGCGCTGGACTGCCGCACTTATCCACAAGGGATAGCCCAGCAGAACAGACTTCACCTCACTTGGGTTCCTGGTCACAGGGACATAGAGGGAAACTGGATGGCAGATGAACTTGCAAGGCAAGGCACGACCAGGCAGATTCTTCCTGGTAAAGAACATATTGGTATGCCTTTTGCCACTTGCAAGCAGCTACCTAGTGAATTTGTTTACAATTAAGCTGAAGAAAGATGGAGCTAAAGTGCGACTTGTCGAATTTCCTGGCGGACTTGGCTTAAATGGGGCCGGAAGCGGTCACGAAGTGTATACTATCTTAGAAGAGAGGATATATCTAACGTCCTGGGGGCCCTAACCGGGCACTGTCTAATAGGAAAGCATGCAGAAAGGCTCCGTTCGTAGCAGAGCTGGGTCACTTGTTCCTTACCTCGGATGGGGGGTAACAAGTAATTCCCAGCAATGCGTGAACTACAAATACTTTTAATTTAAATCTCTCTACCCCTTACCACTGGTGGGGGAAGTAGAGTTTAATAAAATAAGAGGTTAGTACTTTCAATATTAAAAGTTTTACCCCTTACCGCTGGTGGGGGGAAGTAACGCATACAAAATAAAAATAAAAGAAAATGAGAAGCGGTGAAGAAGTGGTTAGTTGAGACTCTGATCGAATCTGAATCTGTTTATTAAATATTTTCCATTCATATACAAATTCTAATTCTATTTTCCTTAACTAATTATATACATATGTATGTATGTAAGTATATTTACAGAAGATCGCCAACCAATTCCTTGGTCTTCTAAAGATATTTCTATTGCTTGCATGTGCATCGGCTTAATACATGCAAAGAATATTATTTAATGCATTTTCTAATGCATGCATAGGTATGTATGTATATTTGTCTACAATGATAAACGCATTGATCTCTTATTTCAGTTTTGTACAAAATATTGACAGTGAAATGTCTTACAATTTATGGGTTTTTGTTAATTTCTCATGTTTATGTATTTTACTTATCTTCTATTCTAAAGTGGACTGTATTTTCTGTGTGTCAATAAATATTATTGTACGTATTTTTTATGTTCAGTTTTATTACCCTGGCAGATGTATGTATGTATGCACACATGTTCAAAGATATTTGAACATATTGCGAGGGCAAAAAAGTGAGTATTTATGTACTGTATACATATTTTTTTTTAAAGTTCTTACTATATTTAATGTTATTACTCAGGCAGATATGTATCCATGTTCAAAGATATTTGAATATACTGCCAAGGGCTAAAAAGTGTTAAAGTTTTTCCAAATTAATATTTATTTTTCATCTTCAAAATATTTCTTTTAAATTTGTTGTGGACAAGAAATTCAATCCAATTGATCCCCAGAAGTTCCTCCACCTTCGGAATGTATTTCTTCCTCTTACGCCAAATCTCAGGAAACTCGCCTTGCTTTTTGGCTTCATCACACGACTGGGCTACCAAATTATACCAAATTTTATGTTACTAATACGTGTTCTAAAAGTGAAACAAATCTGATCATAAATATAATTTTTTATGATAGCTCTCAATCCCTGCGCCACCTATTGGAAGACAGACACACTGTTCCTTCAAAAAAATTTTGCACAATTATTCGATGCGATTTTAAAATCTTGGAGAAAATGGTTCCCAATTGAATGATTCTTGCGATTTTATATGTGTATAAATGTAGGTGTATAAAATGCCATTACCTTATAATAAGTGGTTCCAGAGATAAGCGATATGAGACTTTCAGTTTATATGGGCGGTACCACGACCCCTTTTCCAAAATCTACCACTTTTCGCCGTAAGTACGGTATTGACAAAATATTTTTCTGTGTCAAATTTCAGGACGTTAGCATAAGCGGTTCCAGAGATAAGCGGTACGAGAATTTTAGCTTGTATGGGCGGTACCACGCCCCTTTCCAAAATCTACCACTTTCCCCATATGTATGGTATTGACAACATATGTTGCTGTGTGAAATTTCAGGACGTTAGCATAGGCGGTTCCAGAGATAAACGATATA